CTAAATACCAAAGTTGCTTATCTTCACCAAGTCTTTGTTTACCTCAATGAGTATCGCTGCCAAACGGGAGGCGGTAAAGGTACGGCACTATGGACGCCGCCACGGGTCAAAAAGAGGGGTTGCTCTTTGAGGCGGTCTGGTGCAGGAAGAAAACATTGATTGGAGTGTCCAGACGATGCGACGTTGGCTGTGGCAGTTTCCGTAAACGAAGAGAGGTGATGGGAAGTGAGACTGCTGGGCGAACATTGGGTGTAGATGGTTCAGCAGATCGCTGGAATGCAGGTAATGAACGTCCATAGCGCTGAATGAATATTGCGTTTTGATGATCCGGCAGGTGTACAGCACCACGAAGGTCAGAGGGCACCACACTCGACATTTTGACAGAGTGCATGACACAGGCTGTTAGTTATGTTTGTAGATATAAGTAGTATGTAACACTTGTACGAAGCGGTATGTCTGAGATGGGAAAGTCGAGAAGATTAAAATGATGCGGAAAGAGAAGGAAAGCGGTCAAGATATATGTATGGTCTCTATATTTTACGAAAAACTTTAGTTTTTGCACTAAACGACAAAATTAGTTATCCACGCCAAGTCTTCGTTCACAGCAAGATTAACTGGGTAAGGTCTCTTACAGCCAGCATTTTAGCCGACGTAAGAAGAGAACCGTTTGGCTGTTTTACTTATTCGATCAACCGAATAATAATCATTTGACTGACAGGCCAGTGTTAAATGTGCTTCAGCTCACCAAGTTTAACTTAAGTTGTGGGTTAAAATTAAACTGAATTTGTGGTGTGATTTCGAAGAGTGGGGAAGGTACGAGTATCGAGCAGGGATGACGATGTGTAAGGCTGAAGAAATTAGTCATAATATTTTGATCAGACATGTAGTGCAACCCAAGGACAAATATATTTAAACAAATTCCAATACTATCTGTATCAAACGAGTGGTTCATGTTAAGGGAGTTCGAAATGAGGTTAGTTTCAGATTGTATAGTAGAATAATCATAATCAGTTAGTGAGTCATAATCTTGGTAGTAAGCACTACATAAGAGTGCCCAGTTGAGCTAATGGTTAAAGATAAAGATTGATACAAAGAAGATTGGTATGGAAGTTAAAAATGCTAGGGCTAGGAGCTGGCTTGAGACAGGAAACATAGCTGTTGGATATGGGAAGCCTCAAGGTTAATGCTCAACGAGGATTGTCCTTTCACTGTATCGTATTATAGACCACCTAATATCTATACGGAACAAGAATATTACGCATCACATTGTTATTAATATTAATGTAGTCAAATTACAGAACACATGGTTTATCCTCTACCACTATTGATTGATTATTTATCATGGCCTTCTGCTCCTAACCCTCACCTTCAGATTCCGACTCTCAGTATTGATTAAAGATACATTATTCTCCCTATGTGTCATGTCTTTTTTCAAGTGAGGCCGATCAAAAGAAGCTCAAATTGTCCTCAATTCTTGTAAGTTGCTCAATGTCTTACTTTTCTTACCTTGGAGATTTTACAGTCTTCTAGTCTTTCATATCCTTTGATTTGTTAATAGTCCTTGCCACCTATTAACTATATATAATCTGACTACTCTATCATAGCATATACCATTATCCATCGTCATAGCAGTATTTTACACTAAATGGATGTCTAACCCATAATACAGAAGCTTTAAAAATCTGGTTTGCTTGTAACATGTAATTAGTGGAGATTGTGTATTCCAACAAGGAGCTTAGCTTAAGGCAATATTCATGCATACCGCAAACGCTAGAGAACCAAACATCACAAAAAGAGGTGTGGTTGCGTTGCCGACCAGCATACATGCAGGTGGGAGCAGAACATGTTGTTAAATTACGGCTCCTAATGGTCAAATGGGATGTCACGAAACAATGGTATTGATGCTTATTTATCACGCGAAATACCTCTTTAAATCGTGTTTGTGATGTTTAATTGGTTCCACTTCCTACCAAGTAATCATATTGTAAGCAAAACTTGATAATTTGCTAAAAATGAAGCCTGCTCGTGACCGGATAGAATCAATAGAAATAAAAACGAGGCGAAATAGCTTTGGAAAAAGGGAGATAGACCCTCAAGATACGCCACCGAAAACACGTATGGAACACGTGATTTCGTTCTGCACCATCAATAAAACCTCAGATATTCCATAGTAATGTAATGTCCCACTTTACGTGGATTTATTCTTGGGTAGCAGCTGCACGTCGCAACGCAACCTCCATAAAACGCGCTGTCATATTGACATTAGGGGTCTTACTAATATTATTTACATTCATATGTGAGAATAGTCATTCTCCGTAATTTTATGGCTAATGTACCTTATAAAATAACAATGTGACTGAGTAATTTACTACAGTGAAGCCTGTATCTTCTGAAGCCCTTTGACTTTGTCTGTAAATTGACATGCCTCATGTAACAGAATGTTGCTTGAGAATAAATTATCATTATATTGGTAAGGATATGTACAGTAAATGCTGTGATCATCGCTGTATGGGCCAGTTCGTGGCGTGTAACCAATTAGTACGCGTTCGTTGTCCTTGACCTAAAGAGTGTCGGTAAAATGTTCGACAATCATTGACCGTACTACCGGATGATTCAGTTAAGACCTAGTAATATTGCTCCGGCCCTACACTTGATACAACTGTGACTGGTGAGGTTTCGTACTTACCTGAACAACAGTATGCAGTTCCTCAATATATTTTGATTTGTGTGCTCACAACTGTCAAAGAATCTTGTCTGAAATTTCGATGAGAGTTTTATGCTGCTACGTACTGTTGAGATCCAGGTAGGATGATATTAGTGTAGATGAGAATTTCAGGCTTCATGTATTTGAACGTAATCGTGCATAATGTTCTCACTGTCATGGAGATGTAATTTGTAGTCTGGATCGAAGGCACAGTGCACTAAAGGTCTATGGATACGAAGTTAAGGTACTGGTTGTTATACCTATATTGCAAGTAATGGGCATCGTATGCGGAATCAGAATTCATTTATTGTTCTGTGTTCAGTTATATGGATATTTAAGGAATATGGCCCGGTTTATTACATTCCTTACGACACTGCTAATAATATTGACAGTTTCAGTACTTGAATAGACGAGAATATATGATCTTATTATGCATGCTCGAATAATGCATCATGAATTGGAAACGCATTAAAACCAGTTGGGAGAACCATCTACAGATGACTTTAATATCGAATCAACGTTAAAAAACGCAACGAATACAGATAATTGTAGTACGCAGTGGCATGCATCGGTATACATGAATTTCTAAATATTGTGAGCTGTTGCACGTAGTTAATGTCTCAGTTGCCTATATTAATGTTACCAATGAAATAAGCAGAGGAATATTGTAGGTAAGGAGATGTAGTGAACCGCTTCGGTAAATAAGTAAATAACTCGTCTACTTCATAGGGAGATATCGTAGTATGGTAGAGCACAATTCGGTTTAGAATGATTTGGCGCTCCACCACGTATGATGATGCATGAAACGGCGAGCTGTTGTATATAAGCATGTACATACATTATGGCATAATCCCCTACACTATATTAATGGCGCATTCAAGTGGTCATGTTGTTACACAGATCACTTGAGTGGCGTAACCAACAGTTCGTGATCGACCAAATATAATGACTAGCCAATAAGATGCAGGAAGCCTTCCAGTTGCTGTTTGTTTAATTAATGAATTGTTATTCAGTCGTTGCTTCAGTGTTATTTAATTCGTTGATTTGTTTTCAGTTCTGGATTATTATCGGGTTTATGGCATAGCATGACCACAATTATGCTAAGACAATCCTCGTAAAAGTTGAATCTAGTTACATCTTTCATGAACAAAATGTATTCATTAGCTGCTGATTACAGGAGTTAATGGCTTCAATCGCAGGTAATGTGATGAGGTAGTGATAGTTAACTGAGGTTATGCTATTAGTTGTTAATGAAGAATCGAGTAAATACGATCAGTAGAGGATAAAGGAATCGGGAACTTACTAGGTTGGTGGAAGTGTGGAATTATAGGTAGAGAGTTGGCTAACGTGTAACTGTGGAACAAGCAAGTTAGACCATGAAGAGCACATATTAATCAACCAAATCCTATCCTACGAGTTAGTGTCTCTGAACAATTGGTAAAGGATAGGAGAAGTTAGGCATACTGATGTAACCCCTGCCTGCTCCTTGTAGGTCGCCGAGTGTGAAGTCACATTGCGTTCGTCTGAATGTGATTTACTGGTGTTCGCTCTACCTTTTCTGTATTTTCAGGCTATTTCTGATAGACGCAAGAGTATTTAAATGATTGATTCACTAGAGGAAAGATAACGTCATCCCTTTTTTTAAGAAAGTGATAAGGGAGTTGAGGTAGTAAAACATAAATGTTGTTTGGTCTTGCCAACATTCCGTTTTCCTGGGGCCGGTATAATCATATTAGGAACCCCATCATGACTGTGTTGTGTGAGATCGGCGGTTTGTGGTTGGAATCCAGAATTAAAGAGTATATGCGACGAAAAAGGTTGTAACTTTCATCGTGTAATATTACTGTATCAGTAAGAGAACTTACTGTACTTGCATAATGTAAGGATTTCTGTGATTTTGTTCGTACACTGGTTCTAATTTGGTAGTTGTCGATAGATAATCAGATGAAAGAATTCGTTCTAGTTGCATTTTTAAAGGAACTGTTACACCCATTACATTCCATGCGTTTTTACTTAATCCTACCCATTTACCAATTTTGAATTATATCCTCCCTCGTTCCTCGTGTGGCCCATGATTAACTTTGAGACCCAGTTTTACAAATACTGATGTAAACTAAATAAAAAGGAAAAGCGACCAGGACCTAAGACTGAACTATGCAAAAAGAGAGTTGCATTTTTTCTGATACCTAATGATCTATAATGCGTTAGGCATTGTGGATTTACGTTAATTAAAAGTATTAGATTTGTCTTGATTAGTAAATACATTCGTTTATTCATAAAATCCACCAAATAACTGGAACCACACAGAAACAATAAGAAGCAAACTCAAGGAAATCAACCGGTTAATAGAAGTTCAGGACAAAGATAGTGGATTTATAAATCGAGATCTCAAAAATGTTACATATGATATCAAATTTTTGTAAGGTAGTTCTAAAAGTTGAGTGATTTACCCGTTATCCTCGCCAGATAAGCGTTCTGGATTGAAAAGTGTTTTTTTAGTCTACTAGCACGTTTTAACTTGCAAAGCGCACTAGTTAAAATTTTACTTTGTAATCACTGTTCAGTGGTCATGGATGCTAAAAAAATACAGGCTGATACAAACACATTTTTTGGCCGATTTTCGCAGGTTCAAAGCTTTCTACTTGGTTATCAAAGTCTGATGATAGATTGTTGAAGAGGCATTTGGTACTACTGAACGAACAACATACAGTCCTGATCTAACGGAGTTAATGAAAGAAGGTGAAAAACGGAGAAACTGGGCGGTGAGCATTTTGGCACAACTTGAAAATGTGATTCAACCGAATCCAGGTATTGTTTTCACAGATGTTAGGATTTCAATAATGCCTGTAAAAACTCAGGGGAGAGCATATATATGGGTTCAAACTGTATGTAAAACTTGTGATAAATCCGTTTGTTTTCTCCAAAATTCGGTTCAAAATCTTATTGTTTGTCCTCGCACCCAGTGCATCTGACCCACATGCCCCTACATGTCCTGACGTTTCACTGACTGCCCACCATTTGCATGCAAACTTTTATTGTTATTTATATAATGGACGCATGCCGGCTTTAGAACTAAATTTTTATCCATACATCTGGGTGAAAGTACCGAAATTGTACACTTTCTACGCAGATTTCACGTAAAGCACGATAAATTCATAATCTTTTCTTCAACTTATATTTAAGTAAACCGTGTTATGTCTAAGGTTTATCGAAATTTCTAACTATAGATCTTTAAATAAATTAATATATTTGTAACATCCCAACGAGTAGAAAATCTAGTTTTCCCACTCATTAGGATGTTACAAATATATTAATTGATTTCTGACAATCTACCCAATGCTCAATTTATTCAAAGTTATCAAATCAAAACTTGCTAATGATGCCTATGGATCTTTAAGCTTAGCCCATATTTTTAGACTTCATTAGGTATTCAATCATAGTATGAGGTTGGTTAGGTTTGGCACTGTATAAATAACTCTAGGGTTAAATAACCGCCACCTACACATTAAACTAGTTTAATAAGCTAACTTTCATTCATTGAAATGTTCAATGTCATCCAAACATGTAGTGTTTCTAAAACTTGTTTTTTAGTGCATTAACTGTTTCCGTGATGATAGTATAGATACAACCTGAGCAAAGCAATATTCCTTTCGCAATTAGTTTGTCATCATGGTCCTACGCTAATCTATTAGTTTTACGATTACAAATAAAATCAATATGAAGTAGATAATTTTAATTTAAATACTTTTGCTTTCTGAGTCATATTACTCTTTCATATTTCTAAATATTAGATATTTATCCCTCTTTAAAACAATCTGAGTGAATTTTCGGACTTTTGTTAGTGGCCACTTCTTACCAACAAAACTTGTTTAACTGGAAACTGCGAGAGACATTGCTTAAAAACTTTGGAGATATTGCTGAACACTGTACACGAGACATGTATTTTTCATTGATTACCATCTGTTCAACAGTTAATTATAGGCAAACAACTGACTATGAACCGAATATAATGATTCATATGTATTGGTAATTCAAACATTTCTATTGACGTTTAGGACCGCAATCGATTAGTCTCTTTTGGAAATTATCATCATATTTTAATCATTAATATTTACAGGATGCATCTACACAGTGTTCATCATTGACCCTTACTAGACTTTTTTAAATGGGAGCGAATCTCATCTTTGTTCTGTCAATTTTATTTATCATTGCACTTTTACTTAATACTTATCTCCATCACTTCCATCAGTCAAATAAAAGAGATGATATTAATCCAATTTAAGCTACAAAACGTTTCTAAACTGTAAAATAAGTAAAAGCTTCTTGATAATTCTACGTTCTTAGTTTCCACATTTTTCACCAATAAGGTCAACCTTTTTCCAAGTTAAACTACTGAGAATTTGTGTTAAAGTATACAGCATGTTAAGTCCTTAAATATGATCACGCTTTCACAAAAAACTCAAGGGTTATAGCAATCACTTTGGTCTGATGAATCGAATACATCAAAATGTATATCTAATATCTCCAGATATCAAGAATCCCTCCTAACCACTTTTGAACTAAATGCTAGATAGTACGGTAGAGGGTGTGCATCCAAATCTCTATATCTAGTGATAATAATTTATATAGGAGGCATCCAGTCGAAATGCTTCGCAAGTTATACTGATCTCACTGGTTGCTTAGCTCCTTCTAGAGTGTTTTAAATCTACTCTTAGGTAAAATAATTACGACCAACTGCAAATTGCGTAATTGTTGACAAAAGCATTTATGAAAAAGTGAGGTGAGTGATAGCTAAAACGGTGTAGGTTCTACAATTGTGAAATCGTCGAAAATAATCTTGGAAAAAAAGAAGACCGTTCTTTGTTTGTTAGTTAGCAAGGTATTCAAGCAGTAACAAAATATAACAAGTATCCTCAGACATTCTCCAAATCTTATTTCTTTTTAAAATAGGATATTTATTTAACAGTTGATTTTCCTAATTTTTTTCCATAGCCCTACGAATTGAAGATCTTATACTTAGAGGAATGAATAGGGAGAAAGTTCGCCTGAGTGCTAATGAACAATTAGGTGAAAGTATGGATCGTATTAGTAGCCTAATTAGTAAAAACTCTAACTATGGTAAGTTGGTAAACGATGTAATTAACCCTTTAATGATTGTGATATTAAGGTATCCAAACAAAACTTGTATGATTTGAAAATGTAACTTAAGCAGTGGTCTAGGATTGTTTCTGGTGTAAAAGAGAGATCTCATTGTCGAGAAAATAAGTCTTATTCGAAGGTCATAGGCTAATACGTATGTTAACATATTTATATATAGTTTGGATCGATACTATATAGTGCACAATTATTCAGTTAGACATTTCCATATTCATGTTAAAAGAATCAATTAGTCGCATGCGTTCCAAACTATGATTTTCACGTTTAGAATAAGTGTGAAAATGTAAATACAGAAAACAATTTGAGGCTGATCATAAGCTATGCGACACCTTGCAAACTTTTGAAGTAGACCGAATAAAAGCCAGTCAGTCAGTTGCAACGTAAGACTGGGCACATATACGCATCGGTCCAAGTTGCCACACCTAATTAGCACAACAAGATAAACACCAAATTCATAGAAGTAATTACTTCAATGGTAGTAATATATAAAAGAAAGATTGCATATAAGGATATAATACAGGAAGCAAGAATTAGTTCGTAGAAAGAAAGGTACAAATTAATTTTAATCTCACGGTTTAAGGGCAGACAAAAAGTGTATACACCTACGCCATTGTGATCGATTATAAGCCATGTCAATCAGAGTCTCCAGCCATTAGTTACGATAGTTGCGCGGACCCCAACCAAGTAGTCTGCATCTACTAACATGGTTCAGACCAGAAGTTAGTGACTTCAAGCACCGATGCTGCGTTTTGGTTTGACCACCTCCAACTTTCTTCCAACCATCCCGAACACTAGTAAGCATCATGCATCGTGGTAACCGGTGTTCAGACTTACGTAACACGTGGTTCAACCGTCTCAGTCGAAGAAGATTTACAACCTCATCAACTGATTTGCCATCATTCTCTAATACTCTGTGTCTAACCTCACTACTACTTACCCGGTGATCCCAGCAGGTGCGAGCAATATTTCTAAGACATCTGTGGTCAAGTACTAGTAATTTACGAGTATTTTCTACTCTCAATGGACACGTTTTACAGCCATAAAGTAGAACAGAATGAACTGCTACTCAGTATACTCGTCCTTTAATTTATATAACGATATCTCGCCTTCTCCACAGGTAACGTAGGTTGAAAAAAGGCAATCGAATCCGTGCAGAGATTTCGTCAGACACCAATGCATTGGGGCTGATCAGACTTCAAAGATAAGTGAAGTTGTTGATGCATTCACTCGCTATCCTTAGTGCAGGCGTTGACGCAGGCCACTCCTGAAGCAATAATTTGCATTTAGAGGGGGAGAAACGCATTGAAGTCACCTACTACGAGTACCATATCTGAATGTTTAGCTTTATGAAAAAGTTTAGAAAATTTTCTATAAAAGTTATTCTCCACTTCATCCGGGCTGCAGCCAGTGGGAGCGTAGGCAGAGACAACGAAAAGGCAACGACGTGTATCCCTATCCTTTCGAGTTCTTACGGAGCCTTTAAGCCAAACAGCACATAGGTGACTGTTACCAGGGATATATTCTAATAATGCTTGTTCTTCCCTCGTACACAGTGATAGGCCCACACCCGCCAGTCCACGAGAACTAGCCATCAGGTAACCAGATAAACAGAGTATGTATCTCGTCAGCTCCCCGTTTTGGCGAGGTGAGGTCAAGTAAATGACCACACTAGGATCCTGTATGCGTGTTTTGGAGACACAGCATACATCAATAGTAAGAGACTCTAGGGTTTTAGCCAAGGAGGCCTACTGGCCGATTTAGAGCGAGGTTTCAGTAGACCTGGGACAGTGTTTTGCTCACTAGAATCGCTGGTCATGGTGACGCTTCAGGAGGAAACCGAAAGAGGAAGTTTAAAGTTAAAAATCGAGGTAGGAGGAATTATAGGAGTTGAAGAAGGGGGTTGTTTATGAATACAGTGCTCTTGAGTGCTGTTAGAGGTATGAGGGCGGTTTTCACTTCCCTATTGACCACACCGTGGAAGGGTTCTTGTAAAGGTACCTGAAAATGAAATTGGGTTAGAGGTGATCTTTTTGACCCGAGAGCGTGACTGCAGTGCCCAAGGGATAATTGCTTAAGGTCGGTCACACACGACATTTTTGTGAGTAGTTTCCATGTTAACTCCGTACTTGTTGAGACCTCACCGCCGGAGACGGATATCCGTGGGATAAGGCGAGGTGTACATTTTTATAGTGGACCTTTTGCAACCACACTCTTCCTCATGTGAAGGCAACATCGCTATTATGCTGGTTGTCTGAAGGAAACACCTTACTGCTGTCACACCTCTGCACAGTCAGCAGTACGACTTCACTTTCGGACCTCGGGTTTGCTGCTTTTAGTTTGATCGTTCTTCAACCGACTTGTCTGTCACGGTAAGACCTTAAGAAACGATTGTTTCAGCCAGCATAGCTCGATCGGTTTATGACGATAGGCGAGCCCGACCACCAAGTCAAGGTAGCAGCAACGGTCAGGCCGAATAAGAGTACCTATTATTTGAGAAAGTCATTATCGCTTACAGTTATACAAGCTATTTTATCTGTTACCTATGTATAATGTGCTTAGGCATCATTCACCCCATTTTTTCGCTTATTGTTGAGCATTTCTACAGTTTTTTTCCCTCTGGATCAGTGATGATTATTCTGTAGAAATTATAATCTGTGAACTACGTTTCGTAGTCCAGTGCAAGGCTTGTGCACATAAGATAGACTTTTCTAGTTTCTGTAATTACTCTAGAGTCTAAACTGTTTACTGATAGGTATAAATTTATTGAATATAATGTCACCCCAGTGTTTATGGTATCACACTCACTGAAAAAGACTATATACCTAAGTCTCTATCGTTGCACCTGAAATTTAGTGTAATGAGTATACTTCGTTAAATGCAATCTTACTTTTTGACCCACTTATTAATAAATCTGATGGTAACTTCTAGTTTTCAACGTTCAATTGCCCAACATTTTTATCCCATAAAAATTCCTTTCTTTCAATCATAGGCTATTTTTTGAGCTTTACTTGTGTTACTCAATTAATACAACTAATTTTATGGCTGCTATAAAGTAACTTGGACATTAGTTTCGTTCTCTAGAAACATGTCCCTGTCTGAAATTTTCACATCTGATAGCATACAAATATTTATTCACTTTACTATTTTATAATTCTTTTATACTTACTATGATTAGTCTACATTAATATGATATTAAGTATGTACATTAGTTGTAAAAAAATTGTTTATATTGTTTTTAGGTTGTAAGTAGCTGAACAGAAACCACAAAATAAATAATTTCGTCCTATTCTGCCAAGTTTTTTGTTCTTGTTTTAGACACATTTATCAATAAGGATAATTATAACGAATTAATTTTTTATTTTATATTAGCCGTTTAAATTATCTTCATTGTCATCATTATTTAATATTTAAAGTAAAAACTATACTGATCCATAATCAAATGTGATACACATGACGATGTCTCGATTCGAACCAATAACTAGGTCTTTTGATTGGCGACTATCTTGTGATCATCATGGAAACATGACATTTATTTATTTTCCCAGAGTTGATCAGTATAAAATTCACAGTCATTGGTAAATAATATGATTATGACAGAATTTGAATTTCTATTCTTTATGTCAATAGAAATAATAGTTGAAAGTTTACCGGTTTTTTTCTTGTGCTTAATACTTGAGCTCAATAAATCACTAATTAGATGAATACCAATATATACAGAAAATCTCATTTTCTTTGTTATCTGAGTAAAAAAATTCAAATATATGTTTTTTCATTTGTGAAGCACACATTTACATTATCGGGTATGACGTAGAATTGGCAATGATTTTTAATGAAATCAACAATCAATCTAAGTTAGACAACCATTGAAAACCTGAAAGCATTCAACGGTTGTTTCGATGTAGCATATAACTTGACAGCAGTGCACATCCATGACCTTGTAATCAGGAATCGAATTTATGGCTATCGGTCTCGCGCGTGAATGCCTAGCCTATAGACCACTGAGCAGATATCGATCTTTGATTAATCGATAATATATTATCTGTACAAAACCAATCTTACTCTTTCAAACGGAACAAACTAAATGAATAAGGTCGAAACAAGGTAGAAAATAAATATTCATGTGTAGTCATTTGAAACAATTGTGCTTCCATCTGACTCTTTTGGTGTACATTGGGATAATTATCGAAATAAATAGAATATCTCTTTGTTGGCAGCCAGGAAATGTATTTTAATGACAATATATCGACGTAAAATAACTTCCAATGTACAACTACATTTTACATAACAATACTATTTTGAAATCTATGCCGATATATTTGTTAACAATACAGTAAGAAGCAAATATCTGAATGATAATCAACGGGAAGGTAAATACTTAGAAACCACGATACATAGAGCTTAAAATTCTCAGTTGAAATTCAGACTTGTAGTTATCATGATAATTATTATCAATATAAGTTCGCTTTTCATAAAACAGTGTTTGCCAATAATGGAATCTATTTTAAGTTATAAACATCAATGATCATTTAACTGTACTGTATTTCTAGTAATTTTTCACTTCATTTCATTTGATACAGTATGGGAAAATATCTAATATTTAGGAATAAACCATAACATAGCAGTTTTTTTTCGATCAATCCTAGACAACATAGAAGTAACACAGTTATTCAAAATGCTATATATATATATATATATATATATATGTATATATATATAATGATTGGAATAAAACTTTGTTTCTAGGTTCACCAGGTGAGGCACTTAAGAAATGTGCAATGGCCCAAATAGAAATTGGACAATCTGAAAGAAAATTGCAAGAAACCGTCTCTTCAGAATACATCACATGGTTACGCAGTTACATAGCATCTGAAGCCAAATTAGCAAAAGTAACTTCTTTTTAATAAAAAAAAATTATGTTAATTTTTTCTGATTATCAATATTTTGAAGAGTAAGTTAACTATTTTTTATATTTTACTGCTTTCTCTTACTTCTATATTATAACTTCATGTTCAAACAAGTACTTTTCTTATAATTGGCATTAATATCAAGTTATTTCTTTCATTCACTTACCTGTCTAAACATGCTTTCTATTTCAAGATTTAATGTTCATTTCACTCTGTTTCTGTATATTTAATTGAATGACTAACATGTAATGGTTGGTTGCATAATAATTTATGTTCCTACTTGTAAGAAGCATTCGTTGAATTTCAGTAAAACTATTGAATAATATTCTACTGTCTATTCACAAATAATATTTGACTTGTTCGTATTTCTTCTTATGTTAAAAGCCGAGAAGTAGTTAAAATAGAACTCTGAGGACAATTAGTTAATAACAACTTAGCATTTAACACTGTATTAACATAAGGAATTTGTGAAGATCATTGAATTTCAAAGTTTATATAACAGATCGATCTCAGCTGGACAATCCTTTAAAACCGAAAATCACTAGACATATGATAGGATTGGGGATGCTCTGTCCAGTTTTTTTTGTAGTTTTCAACGGTTGTTTATCTAAAACAGTTCGTCAAATAAGTCGTCTTTAAAAAAGTATTTGACTTTGACTTAAACAATAAACGCTAGTCATCTGTTTAATCGATAACTGTCCTGATATTCTTAGTTTTATTTTGTAGTTTTTGAAATCCTGATTATTGGACTTGATTATTTCTGTTAATACATGCATATGACTAAGATTTTTAATAGCCAGGTAAATATAATAATGTTTATCTATGTTTATCAATAAGTATTCTGTACATAATGTCAGTGCATTAGGTATATTGGATATTAAAGCATCTATATTAGTTTATTCATATGATTTATACTGCTCAGTTTATTACTCAAACATTTAGATACCAAGTGTGTATTAGGTACTATAAAACTCACTGAGCTTAAATAATGCTACGAACTTCTAATTTTTGTGATGCAACTCAGTATACAGATGTTAATTTGAGTCATTTAACTGTATCTAATTTAGGTAATATTTTCAAGTTATTTGATATATACTTCTTATGACTTATTTAAATGATGACATTTTCATTAATAGTGGATCTGAAAGGTGGTCTCTCTAAAAACTACTGTGATAAAATTAAATAAACAGTTTGTTACGATAGTTCGTAGCATACTTCTCTTTTGACACATTTTAAACAAAAATTAAGGGCAGTTCAGAAAAAAGTGTTTTTTTCGACCATAACGTGTACATAGGCTATACAATTGTATTTATAGTTAATTAATAAATAGTCTTTTAAAAATAGATAGAGGATTATGTAATTTCAGGCGTCCAAAGAAAATTGTATAATGACGGAGAATTTAAAGAATGGTATTTAGATGAATCTAAATTTGTGGAAGATGACTGTACACTTGACGAATATGAGAAAGGGGATGAATAAATTCGACAGAACGTGAAGGTGATAATAGCTCTTCAAAATGTTTTGCAGTAGTATTCCCCTTAAACTCAATGTTCATGGGAAGTGAACCTTTATGAACTGTTGCAGGTCTTATAGATTGTAGTTTTGGTTTCATGTTTCTTTCGATGGATCTAGATGGATAGCAATAGGTCTTCGGAATATATTTGCCCAACTTTTAAGGATAAAGGTTGAAATAAATCTCTTTATTTTTAATGAAACCGAGCTATGAAAAGTTGTATATTGGCCATTTCAGGTTGCATTATACCATCTAATTTTCTTAATAAGAAATCAAAGAAGTGAAATTCTAAATTCATCTCTAAACCCAATGTAAATTTTACTGACTGATCACATCTATTTCACTTATCCAGGATGAAAATGGGGTCACCATTTTCATCACAAATGAGCAAAGTGTCATCTATATATCTTTTGAGTAGATCAAAGTCATTCGTATTTGGTTGAAGTACGGTATGCTCAACAGTGACCATAAGAAATACTCTAGGAGAGTGTTAAGTGGTAAATTCATGGTTTTTCTACTTCTCTTTAAAGAGTTCTTAATTTTTGGTGCTTTGTTCCTGTATATGTCTAGATTTGTTTTCTTTTTGGTGGATATTTACAGCAAGAACGAGACAAATTGGAAAATGCTCGATTAGATTTAGATCGTATTAAAACATCAAAAAAACGTGCGAAAAATGGCAAACAACATGTAAGGCTTGTGTCTTACTTTAAAGTTTTTGTGTTGTAAATGTAATTTGTCCGCTTATGTACCATTTTTAAACAGTTTATTCTATAAGCTTATTTCGCCCACTTAACTAGAATAAATAATGAGGAATGTGAGTAAACAAGGAATCGTATTAAGCTAGATGTAGTATTGGGGAAAATATCGAAAAGATTATAATTTTTATTGGTCAAGTTTCGTAATGTTGGAGTGAACGTGAACTCGGGAAAATCATAAACTGCCTTACTAAAATGTTTAAACCATAGATTAAATACATTATTTGCACATCTTCCTTCAGTTGTTCTTTACAAGCTTCATGATTCTTCCAATTCTGTTTTTATCAAACTAGTACTCTGTTTTCCTTCCTGTTCTCTTCAATTCAATTTTTTGCTGGCAGACATTTCACATCCGATTGGTGCTACATACTACTTATATTTGTCAACATAAGTAGCATACGCCACAATATGTCTATTATCTGTGTATAGCAATAAATGTTTGGTAAAGTGTACTTAGCATTGTTAGGGGTTTATAGAAATTATTGAAATTTCATAGATTGTATCACGAACTAATGCTATATACCAATCATACTTGTGTACTTACTACTGATTAACTTCGAGAAGCGATCCCGGGTGTTCTGGTGCGATGTTTTGACTAGTGGAGCTCAGCCTTATCGTGTATAAGATATTTATTTATCTCAGGCAACATCTTTCTTAATCGGATTTGCTGTTAAGTGTCCTGTTTTAGTTTCAATACTACGGACTTATCGATGTGTTCATCTGAAGAAGTATGTCAACTGGTTATGTATTCTAGTTATCTCGTAAAAAATGTTCAGATAGTTAAAGAAATCTTTAACTGCATAGCTTACATGACGGACTGTTCTTAATTGAACAACCATTAAAATCCAGAAAGTACTGAATAGCTGTTTCATCCCAGTATGAAACTCATTAGACCCAGGGCTTTCGGATAACACGACGATTATTTAATTGTTGAACCACTAGGTTGATATCCGGCGTCAATCTATGATGTTAACTGTATAATTTTCCGAAATTTCTACAAACTTCATATATATTAGAATTTTCATACCAAACCTTCTAAATTAAATTTATTTCATCTACATAAATTCACACATAACATTGTGCATTCTTTTGCTACTGAAGGTATTTGAACAATCGTTGAAAGATGCCGAATCAGCATTCAATTTTCAGTGTGAAACTACTAAGCGTTGTTTACAAGAAAGCATAGACAAATTTGTAAGTTATACGCAGTCATTTCAAAATTGTTTGTTATTATTAATGTTGTCATTATTACCATACACGAATGGTTCTAAAATAGTTTAGAATTCTGTCTGCCATTGACAATTTCCGTGGAGTGAAATTGTTGTAAACCGTGATAAGAAATAAACCATAACGGTAAGTCACATGTATTTGACTTGAATAGTTGTGAATATTATTCAAAATGTGTTATTTGTTACTACTGATAAAGTACCCCGCCTAACAATCTTGCTTCGTAATAATCATGCATTATTGCATCTGTGTACTATAATCCAGTTCAATGTGTAATATTATCCTCTGTTGAAATTGGAAAATCAGTTAGCCAGTTATACTTGTTTAATATATTATCCATATAGAATTTAATAATTAGAATTTGTTGCTCAAGATTATTCGTCGAATAAATTCTAAAGCAAAATGAAAAATCTACTACATCATACTGAAAAACAGGAGTTCAATTTTTTGCTGGAGCTCCGTTCTCTGAGTTGGATGGTTTAATCGAGAAGTTTTTATTGTTCTTCTGAACAACATCATCTGCATAAACTTCAGGTAAGACTAAGGTATTTAGGTTTCTTCATATATGATTGGGATCTTGTCGTCGTCTTCATGAAAAATAACTAGCCGTCAAACGTTATGATGTATTTTCGCCTATATCAATACACATGGGCAATTGCGGGCACATATTTGACCAAGAAAGTCTAGATATTTTGTTGAGGGAATACTAACAAGACCACAAAAGTTTCAGCATCTTAGCTCTCAGGTCAATCAACAATCAATAAAAACTTAGAAATCAAATCAATTTATCAACTTATCAGAAAAAAGATGGACAACTAGGGGGTCGAGAATTAGGTTAAAGGGAGAAACGACCAAAATAAATATGCAGACAACGACAGGTTAAAGATCACTGATGACCGGTCAAAATCAAGGTTAAGAGGACAAGCTACCAGTCCTATGGGGAGAATTCCGAATATCTCACTTCTATTTGAAGTTCTTGCCGATGATGACTTTCAGAAGAACAACGGAGGCTTCACATTTAAACAATCCAGCTCGCATAATGAAACCCCACCAAAAGTCATTCATCTGAGCTATAAATCTTTTCTACCACCCCAGAATTCATTTCAAATCCTCTAACTTTGAACAACGAAAACCCCTAAGGCATTGTTTTTTTTGAAATAGTGTTTTGAAATGAGCTTGTGTAACACATTTATTTATTGTCTGAGTTACGTAAAGCACGATCGACGCTTTCACAAAAGTCAATTTGATCATAGAAGACAATTCAAGTATTCTGTGTATTGAATCCAATAAAATTATTACAAATATCTGGGTATTGGTTTTCTCTTTTTTCATCTGATTAGATGTTTTTTTCTACCCCCAAAGTAGTTTTAATATTGTTAGCTTACTTTATTGGATACATTTTCAAACAAACTTATTTTACTGATTATCAGCTCTATAAAAACATAACTATTTAGTTTATTTTTTATTTCCTTATTTATTGGAAAACAATACTACTCACACTACTACTACTATTTACAATAACTAGGACTCACAAAAAGAAGAGCTGAGAAAACTTTTAAAAGCTCAATCGGAACACTTTAAAGCATGTTCAGATGCAGTGGAATCGGCATTACGTGCGATTTAAAAAAAAAAAATCCGGGAACTCAGACTAATTCAAAAAAAGGTAAGGTTTTATTACCAATTTACATTTGTATAATACACACACATATCATTGTAAATAATGCCCTCTAAACGATTGCTTTCCCTGAAGATATTTTTTTAATGCAAATAAATTGCCTATGTTGGTTTTCAGTAGTATATCGTTGTTTATTTTCTTTTTGTATGCAAAAATGTATCAAACAGTTTGTGTTATTGAAAACTAGATGATAATAGAACCATATTTCATAGATCACATCAATGGATTCTACATAAATTTTAATCGTCTATATGATAAAGGTCATTTATGCAATTTTATGAAAGTCATTTTAAAGTGCATCTTAACTTGATTGTATTTTTTTTTCTATTTTTCATTTCATTACATTCATTACTTATTATTCAAACACTTTTTACGGATATCATTTCTGTAGAAAATTTCCATGTTTACTGTATTTAAACTTCTAATACAAAATAGTTTACATATTTGCATTTATTATTATGTAACTTTTAAAGAAATAAACGTTTTTTGACTATTCGTAAGTAACACATAGAGTTGATTAGTTAGTCATTAAAAAAAAAATAAACGCAAGTGCGGAATATCCGAAGTTTCTTTAATTAGCATCAGAACAGAACAAGAAATTTATCATGATGAAAATCAAGAAACTTGAATTATTTTTGTTCATACTATAAATAATCAATGTGACCTAATAATGTTTGTACATAACAAAGATATGAGTCAGTAATTCGTATTTTCAGCTTGTTGAATATAACCCAATATGTACGATCTGGTTGACAGAGTGACTTTTTTCGGTTAGCGATTAAAATAGTCTTGGAAGTTGAAACTGAACTATGGTAGGGGGGTTATCGTAGGTACAGAACTGTAGTTAAGACTATAATTTATTGATAAACCAATCAGATTTAGGATAACAGGTCTTGGATTTCGATGCAAAAGTCATTCACTCATTTGGCTATATACCATTGTGGTATTATAGCTGATGCTAGTTCGTGATGAAAACACTAAGTCTAATTCCCAACTCTAAAGTTTAACTGTAAATTCTCATTCCTTGCACTAACATATAACCCTTATTTAACCATAGTAGGTAGGTGGACATTCCATTATCCTTTTAGCTTTACTAAAACATCGTCCATAAATTATAGTCACCGAACTATAAAATAGGAGTTCCTCGTTAATAATCATAGGCTAAACGAAATCAAAAATATACGACCCAACTGATGTGTACATATGCCAATTATTTTAACTACATTTGTCATTAATTTTTAAGGTTTGATCACTTCTAATCTCGTGGTTTACCATTTGTATGCATCTGTTATACTGAGAATCCAAACAAATCCAACATACATCGACATGTTTCGTTGAAAATGATTCTCCAAATCAGTTGTACTAGTAATTTAAATGCCATTTGTTTGCCCGGTTGCTTTTGCTTGTTCAAACAAAAGCTCACTCTTTAATCCTGGTAAAAAAACACAATAAATTACTAGAATTGAGATAATTAGTCAATTGAAGCTAGAACACCATGGAAAACCTGGAAGAACTGGGCGGCCGTTTCATCCTAGTTAGGTATTAACACCGTTGCATGCCGGCTCAGTGGTCTCTCGATTAAGTGCTCTGGTGCAAGACTGGTGGGTCCTGGGTTCGGATCTCGCGAGGCAGGATCGTGGGTGCGCACTGCTGAAGAGTCCCCTAATAGGACGAAACGGCTGTCCAGTACTTCCAGATTTTCCATGGTGGTCTAGCTTCGATTGACTCATGATCTCAACTCAATAAAATTACTAAAATCTCCACAATACCCCTTAAGATAAATTATTAGGACTTTGAGGTAAATCTACATAATTAAATCATTTATGCTACAGAACAAGTGAATTTACACTGTTATATATATATATTGCCTGATGGATAGGAAACATTTCTCATGTCCATTCAAATCTCAACTGTATATCTTCAAACATTTAACTTTTTTTGTATAACCTTTTCTATTTAATTCTAATTACAGAGTGAAAACGATAAGGATCCTCTATTCATAATAATAATAATAGTAAAACGAATGAATTTCTGATAATATTCTTCAACATTTGCATCATTTTACCATTTCGTATTTACAAGCTACTTATATTTTTACTTAAATATCTGTGATACATTTAGAATGTTTTTTTTTGAATGTTACTTTTTCATACATTTTTTTCCTTAACAATTACTTTTGTTGTTTCATACGTATAAAAAGAAAAAAAAGGAAGAATAAATGTTGATTTCTTTCGCATCTTCTTGTTATATATTGTTTTGCAGGAGGAACTCATTTATTATTTTTGTAGCAAATAACCTCACGCGAAATTTTACTTCACTGATTGTTTCCTTCTGTGGTCGAAGAATTTTTTCCCGGTAGAAACTGAGCTGAACCACTGAGTTAATGACGAGGATGCTAATCGTCTTAGAGTCACAATGAATTTAATAAAATAGGGTTGGGAACTAATTCTGGGAATCAAGATAAAGAGTGTTGATTAAAGTTTTTCTCAAGGACCAATATCAGCTATCATAAAGTGATTCTAACATGTATATACCTTATTCTTGACGTAAACAGTAATTTTAAAAATTATTTTAAGCAGCGATACGTAGCGGCTGTCGATGGAATCCAGGACCTGCGTTTCATTTCATTTGGCACTCGTCAGCTGGATATGCCTGCATCCCAGAGTTGGTGTACACTCCGGGACTGAAACCTAGTACCATTCGCTTCAAACGGCATTGGGTTGTCTACTTTGCAATTATGTTCAGATAGATACTGGCTCGTGCCATTAGGTTTAGTTTAATTCATTTGCATTCGTTTTTTGAATCTTCCTATTGATGTTTAGGACTGTAACTCATCAGTTTGCTTTTGGCTGACGTGATGGCGTTTGAAGCGAACTATAGCAGTTTGGGGTCCTGAAGTAAACACCAACTCTAGGGTTCAAGTAAATCCTGCTGAAAAGTCCCGAATAGGACGGAATGAGCATACTGGATTCCACCGATAGGCACCATCTGCCCCTACCTATCATGGTAGTATCGAGTCAGTCCGCATACGATGCACATATGCCGAAAGATACTAGTCAGTTACGGTCCAAAACATCAATGGGAAGATTTAAAGAACCAGTACAAACGAATTATCTCATAAATCATTTCTGTCTCCTGATTGACTTTATGGATTATGTTCTCAAAGCTATTCAGCGGCAAAAGTCAGCTAAGTTGGCCTTACTTCAAATAAATATACTATTCGTGAATTTTCAAAAAGCTTTAGTATCGACTTAATAAATAATTCGATTTTTTTATTTTGTTGTGGTCAGCTATTGTTGAGTCGACTGATTTTTAATCAGGTAAATGGTCATCGCATTACTTGTACCATAAAGTGATCAATTTCACAAATTAACGATATCTTTCAAAAAAGAACTGACGCACTACACACCTCATTATTAACTTTTAATTTGTTTGACACATTTTGAAAATATTTCTCACCATACAATGATAGCTTTTGACGGAAACAGTATAGACTGTAGTGGAGGTTTGACAAAAACCTAGTGAAGGGTTGTAACAGGAAGAGCGATTTGATCACTTCTAGAAATTTTGGTAGTGGAATGTTATCTAGTTTGAGAGTGAAAGCTTAAGAATGAGATTGGTCATTTTAGTTATAATAAGCTCCCAAGTGCCCTAATACGGCCGAGGGTCGTGAGATTCCGCTCTCCCTATCTAAATGACCTCATATGGCTACGCGTATATGGCCACCCCCAGGGAAGTCCTAATCGCACACTTCTCATCACAGAGATGTTGTTTACGAAATTAAGTGAACGAAAATCTGATCTCTGGTGCCTAAACAGGTTTAGTACGTACGGAAGAGCCATCTAGAGGAGATGAAAAATCCTGGTTCGAAACTAGTAGTGCATGTTAGCTCCAGAATTCTGAAAGAAAAAGTGGTGTATCAATCCATTTCTAGTCATTGGTTACCGTGCGACCTCATCTCCTAACGTTGTTCCACTGCCCTGTGGATTAGACCTCCGGGTCAAAGGATTGTGAAGCGACCCTCTAAGAAAACCAACTCCTTCGGTCTGGGAGCTGAGCAGTATCCCATCCTACACACAAATTGAATGATAACTGCATTGTGTGGCGCATAAATATTTTAGCACCCTTTTGCGCCAACGTGTATGTTTAAATCAATAGATAGAAAAGTTAGTCTTATGAGTTTTGCTGGGATCAGGTTAAAATCAATTATTGTTTCTTTTTTTTGAAATTGATAATAGTTTCTTAATTATAATGCTTAAACATGAAGTCATTTGACTTAAAAACAATTCCTACAAACTACCTTTAAGAAAATAAGCAATTTAGTTATTTCGCTGAAATTTTTCACAAACAAGCTGTGTTATTGATTGCTGTCTATAGTCCACATCTCATGTAGATAAGTTAACAAAATTACTATAAACGGGAAAACTCTTCATTTCATCTTGATTTCCTCAACGTCATAGGTTTACTTAGAATAAACGTTTTGGCTTTTTGTTAGCCATGCAATCGAATTAAAAGTTACTTAAACATTTATTCGAAAATTCAAAAAATAATGGCCAGTATAGGTCGTACGAAACAGATGAAATGTGGTTAGCATGGAAATTCAGGGTGCACGCTTCTTTTCATCTTCGATTCGTCAGCCATATGTGCCTGGATTCCAGAGTTGATGTTTATCCAAGCGTTCAATCCATGTAACTTTCACTTCAAATAGCAATGTCAAAATTGAGTTAATATATCAACGGATGTAACGCACTTTCTAGATTCCACTGCTAGTCACTTTCCATTCATTCACTATAAACTTGTGTTATAATAGCTAAATCGGGGCAATTCTCACAGAATGCACATATACCAACTAAGAATAATCAAAATCTCAAGAATAGGATAATCTAAACCATTACAAATTAGATGAGATCAGTATTAATGTTTCAATAGAAAAGACTAGTCATCTTTTCATTCATAAAAGCCTAATAAATCTTTTATGTCATATTTTTGCTCTAACAAGAACCATTTTTAATTATTACATTGGATCGATTAATACTTCTATAGTGTATTTTTCTATTCTCAATTAAATATACAATCAAACTATTTTAGTCTCATTTCAAAATTTATTGATCACTGGGCGGTGATAAATGTCATGTTTTTCTTAGTGCATATCGAATGCTATCGACCAAGTTGCAATTTAGCCACTAGTCTAGGTGATTCGACACTGCGTGCACTATGTTGAAATAGGATGGTGGTCGGAGGGGGTCAACAGAAGACTCTGGACCGAAATTTCGTGCTACTTGGCACTCGTCAGCAGAGTGTACCTGTAATCTTAAGGGAACTGGTGCTCCCTGACGGATTCGATCTCATGTCACTCAGCTTCATAGTCAGAGACCTTATCACTGAGTTATCCTGGCCGCGACAGACCTCCTGTAGGACTGAGATGTAATCACAATTGATTGATCACTGTGTGGTGATCAATGTCAAGTCTTTCTTAGTGCAGATCGAATGCTATCGATCAAGTTGCAATGTGATCACTAGTCTAGGTGACTCGACACTGTGTGCACTATTTTGATAGAAGATAATTTAGTTTCATTTCGTTTACATGTAAGTTCAATAAAACTTTATGAAATAATAATATTAAATAATGTTGATTAGAATAAATCTTAAAGCACTTCCAGTGAGTTTCTATCATGTGTTAACTTAATCACTTATAATATTGACACATAATGGTAGGTGAATTCTAGAAGAAAAAGAAGAAGAATGAGATTGTTATGTTTTTAATCAATTACCAACTATTTTATGAATTTCTATGTTTATATGTATCCGTAAAAAAGATCAAAGGCGTTTAAATTGAATTCACATCACTATGGTTCAAGAAACAGAGAAAAAAATAGTTTATTTGAACAGAATAAGTTAACTAAATAAGTTGAGTTCCACAATAGGACGAGTTGGCCATCCAGTGCTTTCAGATTTTCCATGATGATCTAGCTTCAATTGACTTACGCTTTCAACTATGAAAATAAGTTCCTTACAAAATATTGGTATACTAGGTTCTACAAATAAACAAAGTGAAGTTATACAATTTTAATTTCAGATTACTTTGTAGTATCGGTTGTTATGTTAAGCCCATATACTTTATTCTAGCTACTGGCCAAGCCAATTCACCTATATATATTGAGTCATATTTTGGTCTTGTTAACTATTCGCTTATTAACCTTGACTATATTTTTATTGATAAATGATGCAGATCAGAAAGCTGTGGGCACACGAGCAAGTGTAAGCGAGCGAAGCAAAAATAATGCGTATTGGAGATGGCTGGGAATCCAACTCGCTAATAGTAAGCATTACTCAATATTTATAATCAGACAAAAATGAATGACAGACATATGATGAATAGGATACGAAGGGTACAGACAATTACGCTCATATAAAAATATAGTCAAGTTTAATAAGCGAATAGTTAACAAGACCAAAATATAACTCGTAATATATAGGTGAATTGGCTTGGCCAGTAGCTAGAATAAAGTATATGGGTTTAACATAACAACCGATACTACTACTTAAACGACAACAGTTTTATCTTCTTCAAAATTAATGTGATCATTTTAGTTTTATATAAAGTATTCAACTATTCTTTGAGAGTTTAGATCCATACTTTTATCGTCAGTTGATCGCTAATTATTTATCGTATTTCCGTAAAATGTTAGGAAGAAAATTTCACTTTTTAATATATATAGTACTAATTTCATTGTCAGTGGAGATAACTAACTATAAGTTAAATTTAAGATTTAAAAGTACCATTTCAGTCCTTTTGGTCACTTTAAATGAAACAATATTTAACTGAATGCTTCAAACTACTTCTGCATTGTTCTTGAATATGTCGTCAGTTTATCACTGAAATTGTATTTCATTCTATATTTGTCTTTTTTTTTCTTCAAATTTTACTCGAACAGCCTAATAACATCATCTGTAAGTTTGTATTGGATAGTTGAAATCGAATTCAAATTATACACTATATCTGATCGTTGTATTTGGCAGTGTTTCATATTTTGTTCAGTATAATTATGTATATCATTATTTATTAATTATAGTTAACACCATTGGATACCGGCTCAGTGGTCTATCGGTTAAGTGTTCTAGCGCGAAACTGGTAGGTCCTAGGTTCGGATCTTGCAAGGCGGGGTCGTGGATTCGTACTGGTGGTCTAACTTCAATTGACTCATGATTTCAACTATGAAAATACTGAAATCTCC